GAGGAAGTACGCACGACAACTCGTCCTGAACTTGTTTACCGGGATGGACGCAGACCCCGGGAGCAAATCACGATTGGTCCGAGCCGACGGAGCGCAAGGAGACGCACGCGAGCGGGAACTCTTCCTCTTCCCAAACACCCTTGGGGACAAGCATCTCGTTGACTTAATGCTGCGTGCTCGACGTAGTGCACCCGCACAGCCACCATCCAACCAGCTAGCTGACAAGGGTAGGTCTCTCGAGTCGATTCTGAAGGAAGTCGAGAAGGACACGGAGGACGCAGACGCACGGATGTCCGTCGTGCGGGCAGCTGGTAGAATTGTTCGAGCCGACGTGGAGAGTGACCCTGCCCTGAAGAACACCACCGGCACACGCGAGAAGTATCGCTACGCCGATGAGTTGGACATGAAAGTGAAGCCACCCAGAGAGACTCTACTATCCACGTTTCCGCCGTCCTTGGTTGGGTTGTACCAAAGCATGACGGACATGGCACTGTATCGCGAGATCATCGCATCAGAGACCGAACATCCTGGAGAGCCCTGGGTATGGCAGACCGAAGGGCGAGACGGACGGCATCCTACCACCTCGGGCGACTTGGAGGGCGAGAACGGTGATGGACAAAAGAAGAACGAGGTCAGGCAACCAGCAGTGACGGTGTCGGTAGGGCCACGAACCGAGGAACAGGTCAGGCATATCGACAGCCTCAACCGCGACAGGCGATCCACGCATCGTAGGCTTCTGGTGATGTGCACGGTGGTAGTGAAGGCAATTTTGCGTGGTCGGTACATGGGTTCGCACGACATCAAAGGGGCTCAGTGGGCAAAGTCTAAGGGTACGTGTCGCGATGTGATCAACTTTGTAGCGGAGCACGGTTTGTGGGCGACGACGTCGCAAATTCAGCACCGAGAAGATTACCACGCGAGGTTCGTAGAGGACAAGGACCTTCTGAGCCAAGACGCCGAGTGCGCCGCCAATCCCCTGGACAACTGTGATATTGACCCAAGGGTCGGAGTTGGCCAGGGGGAGGGGCCTCATCCTCCCTTCATCGCTATACATCGTTCCTTGGGATTGGGGTTGGGGATGTCGTGCCCGCCATTATTGCACGTCAGATCTCCACGTCGTAACGAAAGATCGTGTGGTCTGATTTATGCTTACTCCATGTTTCAACGACATACTTCGCGCGTCTTTGTTGATGGTTGAACAGGTCCGTCCGTGCTTGACTTCCGTTGGATACATCCATCCACGAAATACGACGACCCGGGGTACGAGATATCAGACGGACGAACTTCAGCCTAATACTGAAAAGCCGGCTAGGGCGCGCGTTTCCGCCCTCGGCGAATTTTCGTTCCTAATAGTTGCGCACGTAGTTGCGCAGGGAGGTGGACCGGGGGGGGGTATTATTCTTCGCCCAAACCGGGTGTCCGTTGTTTATTGGTGTGGTATTTTGTTCTCCGCGTCTTTCCGGCAGACTGCCGGAAACCTATTGTTGGGGTACTGTGTGCGCTGGCCTGGTATTGTGTGCGGTGTTCGTGTGTAAGTATTTCCGGCGTTTTCGCCACACCCAATGCTCAGGGCGTCCTCATGTACATCGAGACAAGTACTTCAATGTGTACATATATATATATGCCGGCCGTGCCTGCATGCGACACCCCAAAGCACGACGTTATCAGTGGCCGAACTCATTGTTACTGTTGGTGCCGTGCTACTGTCGCTATTCGACCATTCTTGCATTTTCTTCTTCGGGAATCAGGAGAGTTGTGCACTGCTAGGTGAGGGTCCCGACTCCAACAGGCACAAGCGTGCGCGGTGCAACAACAGGGGCACCACCAACAGCAATTTCAGTCCAAACCTAGCTAACGCCATTCAAGAGTACTCCACCTATAGTTGGCATTGCAGCACAATTCTAAGTGCTATACAACCACAAGATCAGCAGCTAGCATAATCGATGCTCGGTGTTGCCGGCAACGTGTCAGGGCATAAGCACGGTGCCTGTATGCGAACGCCAGTTTTCAACTTCATTCGTACCTACCTCTCGATCCTCTGCACCAATCAAGTTGAATTCTTATGAAATCTATTCNCTCATTGTTACTGTTGGTGCCGTGCTACTGTCGCTATTCGACCATTCTTGCATTTTCTTCTTCGGGAATCAGGAGAGTTGTGCACTGCTAGGTGAGGGTCCCGACTCCAACAGGCACAAGCGTGCGCGGTGCAACAACAGGGGCACCACCAACAGCAATTTCAGTCCAAACCTAGCTAACGCCATTCAAGAGTACTCCACCTATAGTTGGCATTGCAGCACAATTCTAAGTGCTATACAACCACAAGATCAGCAGCTAGCATAATCGATGCTCGGTGTTGCCGGCAACGTGTCAGGGCATAAGCACGGTGCCTGTATGCGAACGCCAGTTTTCAATTTCATTCGTACCTACCTCTCGATCCTCTGCACCAATCAAGTTGAATTCTTATGCAATCTATTGTCTGGCGCTCAGTCCGTCTTCCATCAAATTTTTGTGGCGATCGATGCAGTGGTGGGCGCGTTCTCATGCTTGGTGTCTTTGGCGGGTGCACAGCAGCGTGGTTGCGCCGCGTAGATACCATCGGCACGTTTTTTTCGGGCACGGGCTGTGGGTTGCGCCGACAAGTTTGAAGCCTACAGTGGACGGAATTCGACAAATCTTGGTTCCCTAGATAGCTATTGGAATAGTCTACTGCTATAAACCTTTAGCCTTGGGTGGATGTACGCCGGTCGCGCTGCTCTTCTGTGTAAGCCGATATTTTTTGTCCCGCCGCTTACTTTTTTTTTTTCTGTCGTGCAGCAGTGGACCGGAAAAAAAAAAAATCTGTGGTCGTTACACGGGACACGGGGGCATGGCCGCTGGTGGCTGTTTCCATCTACGCAACCCCTCGCAGCAGTGTGAGTTTTACACAATGGTGTATGACAAATACCATTGGTTTTACAGCAGTGCTGCTGTTGGAGGTGTTGCAGTTGCAGAGGGGGCGCCGGGGTAGGGGAGGTGCGGGAGTGCTGAAAACATATGCGTACCTTTTACATTCCAGGGGCAGGTTTCTTCAGTACTACTGCGTGCTCTCCTCCACTCAGGCACAATGATGAGCAGTGCAGCAGCTACAAGCAATATCCAGGAGCTTCTCGAGCTGGAAAAGGAGATAAGAAGCAAAATACCGTCCCTTGATCGAGATGCCAAGGTCAACCTTCTCAAGTATCTCCAAGTCCAACGGGTACAAGAGTACCAAGTGGAGTATGACCGCTTGTACTTCACGCTTAGCCGAGGGGGAAACCTTGAAGGCCTGCGGAGGAAAAACATGGCCGCGGCTCGATTGAAGCCCGTGGAACAGCCGAAGAAATTGGGCCTCCAGGAATACCTTGCGGATGCCCAGGAGGCGCAACCGCATCTGGACAAGCTAATTGAGGACGTGGTTGCGACTTGCGATGGTTGCGAGGGTCGATTTGTTGGCACCAAGTCACCGGATAGTGTCATGCGCAAGGCGGAAAGATTCAACGGGAACGTGGGGAAAATTGCCGACATGGCCCGTGCTGCTGTTGTCTGCGGAACACCCGAAGATCTGGAACGAGCCTACACGGTCATCATGGCCCGCCTCAATGTATGGCAGGGGAATGAAGACGATTCGCAAGCTCAGCTAATGCATACAAGCGCACATCCTTGACAATAGTAGGGGATTCTGGTTGGACAAGCAAGAAACCCCCAATGGGGTGGCCGCTCCGAATGCAGACGTTCTTTTGTTCTTGCTCAATACGCGACAGTTGGCGTGTTGGCGTGTTGGTGTGTGGCATGGTCTAGGGTCCTCTTGTGGTTGTTTCCCGCGTCGGAGTCCGGGCAGATTGATGATATCCACCGTACCCATTCATGTTCGATATCACATCGAACATCACACCCGTGTTCGATATCACAACGTGGATGCTGGAAGGCCCAACAGGTTTGCAACTATTGTAAGATTGGTATCACCACGAACACCAGCTCTCTGTTTCTAAAGGCCACATCCTCTTCCCGCAGCCGCAAGATGTTCTGAGGGTGAAGAACGGCTTCAGCTCCGACTGGATGCCTAGCGGCTATCGGGATGTGAAAGTGAACCCCGTTGTCTGTGGTCATCTTTGTGAGATCCAGTTGCACCTTCGCGAGTTCTTCGAACTGAAGGATGGCCAACACACGGTGTACGAATGGGCGCGGGAGCTACGAGTAACTACCGAGACCGATCCTAGATACTTGTTCGACGATCTTTCCAGCGAAACCCTCGAGGAAATGATCAGGCTGGCTGAGGTGAATTGGGCGGGAGCCGAGCACGTCCTCCCATCCCTGCAGCTCTACATGGGAAAATATGTCGAGGCAGAGGAGGCCTTCAGAAAGGTATAGGACAACCGGGTGGATTCGGGGAGGAATTGTATTGCGCGCCTACGGCGTGGCTGCTCCCACCTCCCGCATATGAGTGGATGAGAGATGCTTTTCATCGCCTAACACGCAAACCTCAAGTGATGTGGGCGTCGCACGCACGAAATACTTGTGACCGGTTGCCTGCACTCTTCTCCCACCTCCTCGTTCGTGTGCGGCTGAAGCTACTCGCCGGAGCGGAAGAACAGATGCAAGGAGCGGAGGCCAACAGCGAGGAATGGAGGAACTCGTTGCTGAATGAAGCTCAAGCAAGCGCCAATCTCGGACTCGCTTCACAGCTGCAGGTACTTTGATGCGGCACCTGCTTTTTGTCCAGTGACGGCCTTGCACCAGGGAGAGCTGAACTGTGCATCGCTTATGCATCTCTCTCGCCACAGGGCCAGTATTCGAAGGCAGCTCCACTGCTCCAGCGTTCCTTGAAGATCAGGGAGGATATTCTCGGCAAAGATCATCCGAATGTGGCACGATCGCTACAGGACTACGCAGATCTCTTGACAGAGCAGGTGATGAGATCGCCCGCGACAGTTCCGCTTGCTCTCAAAGTTTGACCTGTAGGCCTATATTTAGGCCACATGAGCATGAGGGCGCGATACTGAAGTTGGTGTTCGCTGGCGATGGATTCTATCAACAGAGCCTGTCGTTGTTGATGGTAGGTAGGGATAAACGCTACCCATGTAGTCCAGTTGCTGAGCAGGAGGTTCGACCTACAGCACGCACTGCCGAAGCATCAAACTTCCTCTAGGACTGGCACTGTCTTGATATTTTGTGTGTAAACCTTGACATTCGGTGCGCCTGTATTCTGCCCTTGCAGGGCAAGTTTGACGAAGCGATGCCGTTGTTTACAAAGTCGATGGCAATCCGCGAAAAGGCACTCGGCCCTGGCCACCCTGAAGTGGGGGCATCGCTCATCAGTACGGCGCTCTTGCTTGATAGCCAGGTATGTTGGACGGAAACTAACGAGGTGGGTCTCCCACACTTTCTACAGTTTTCCCAAACAACCCATCCATGGGCGCTTTGTTGCCCATGGGCGACCCATGGGTGACCCATGGGCATGCCCGTGGGTGGCCCGTGGGCAGCCCATGGACGGCCCATGAGCAACCCATGGGAAGCCCATAGGCGGCCAATGAGAGCCCTTCAACAGAACCATTGTATTCCTAAACAATTAGAGTATCTGCTTTGAAACGGGCACTATAGCGGTTAATAACCCTAACGCTGACCGTAACCCTATCCCCAAGCCCACACGATACGTGCTAGGTTGTCGCTGGAGGCTAAGTTCTAGGTTGATGTGCAGGTGGCTAAGTTCTAGGTTGATATGCCGGTGGCGAAGCTCTAGGTTGAAGTGCCCACGGTGGGCACTTCATCGGCCGCCCATGGGTCGCCCATGGGCCGCCCATGAAGTGCCCATGGGCGGTTTAGCAAAACTTTCAGTAGTAGTGTGGGAGGTTGAACTAGTTGGGGGTTTATCGTCTGTTCCAGATATTGTTTGGCTCACCATCACGCTTGCTTTGGCATCAACCGATATGCCTGGTCTATGAAGAAAATGGAGTGGACAAGATCGGCGATCTGCGTCTCTTTCTGGGGGGCTTGTTGAATCTGATGCGGCCGGAGCTCTCTAATGGCTGCAAAAAATCACACCTGGGTTCACGCGCAGGCTGAGTACGAGAAAGCCTATGCGCTCCACCGGAAAGCAGTGGACATTTTCGAAAATGTTCTCAGCGCAGACCATCCCTTCGTCGCTGTGGCGCACATCAACTGCGCGGTGGCGCTTGACAATCAGGTGTGTGGCAGTTATTTCGCTTTTTAATGAAGCATGTTCTGGTGTCTTGTCCATGTCCCTCGCCGACTTGAATTGTTAGCCCGCATCGTCTACAAAATCCGAGAGGAAATATTTGCGGCATGCGCACCGAACTCCCGAATTTTGCTTGAAACTGCGCTGAGAGGAGACACACGGCCTTTGGAATTTTCTACGGCTACAATTAAGCCAGCCTTGCCCGAGAGAATGCTAAGAGACCTGTCGTTGTTCGAGGGGTAGTCGTGTCAAGGCGGATCACATCATGCCGTTGTACTGGCATCGGTTGCTGATATGTTCTTCCTCCATGTTTTTGTGTCCTGCCCATGCAGGGTAAGTACGAGGAAGCTGACGCCTTGCTTGCTTGCGCGCAAGGCGCTTTGCGAGCTGCTCATGGGTCCGAACACCCGATGCTGGTACGCACGGAGAACATCAGGGCGAGGTTCTTGGCGCGACAGGTGACTAACCCCGTCCCTAGTATTTTCTCTCGTCCACACCATGTTTTTCACCGCAGGAGAGCCATGGGCACCAGGCGTCAAACGCGCAGGTGTCCCCATTTCACGTTTGTTGGGTGCCGGTTCCTGACCGTGGTTTGGCGGGTTTGCTCATTTGCTCTTGGCAGGGCAAGTACGACGAGGCTGAGCAGGTGTATCGGGAAACGGTGGCGAAGATGGAGAGTGTCCTCGGGTGTGACCACCCCACTGTGGCGAAAGCCCTCGCGGGTTGGGCGGCAGTATGTTCGATCCAGGTAGGCTGGACCTGTCAATAGTACAGGCCTACGGATTCGGGTTAGGTTACAGTGTAATTTAGTTGAGTACAGGACGTCAGTGGAAACGTACGGGAAGCTCGCTGAACTGACACCTGTTTTCGCCCTTCCCTACAGGGAAAGTACGAAGAAGCCGACGGCATACTGCAGAAGGCGCTGGAGATATTCGAGATGCGTGTCAGCAACAAACACCCGAGTTTCGCTGCTATTCTCCACAACGTCGCCGAAGTACACGAGCAGCAGGTGATACCCAACGTATTGTTTCAATTGGAAGAACAACAGGTAGCAAGACGTCTAGCACTTTCTGAAACTGGCCCGATTGCGTGGCGGGCTGCTAAGACAGCAAATCGGCATAGTGGTCACAAATGTTGGCCTTTGAGGCCTTCAGCGTGTGCGAGAAGTTTTTCAGGCGTACCAGCATATCGAGTCGTTACCCGTTGCCCGTTGTAGGCAGACGGAGGTGTACATAAGCGATCACAAAGAGAACCCGTGGTACATGGTTTAGACTTCTCAATATTCGTGTATCACCTGACGGTGGCTTGTACCCACATTTGTCCATTCTCTCGATCCGACCTAGAGCCCATGTTCCGATTCCGTGCGTGCTAAAAGGACAACTTCGCGGAAGCTGGGCGTGTTTATGAGCGGGCGCAAGCCATCATGAGTGCTACACTAGGGGAGAGCCACCCTTCGTTTGCACGGACACTCAACAATCGAGCGAAGTTGCTTCAAAAGCAGGTGAGTTTGTTGTTGTTGTTGTTGTTTCTCACATTAGCTCTAAAAAAAAAAAGATTGGGAGCCCGTGGTCTCAAAACCCGGCATACACGACCCCACGAAGAAACAGAAAAAAATAGGGTACAAAAACCACTCGGAAGAGAAACAAAATGATAGAAAGAAAGACCAGCTACCGCACCAAACGAGAAAGAGCGTCGAGGAGACCGATCAAAATAAAATAAAAGGAGAACGGGGAACGTGAGTGTGACGAGCTTGCTCTGCTTCCCAGTCTTGGACTCGGATACGAATGTACGAATGTCATGTGTATGCGCCTGGCCCCAGCTGGTGCGTCGTTGTTGAGCTGCTCACCGCTGAAGATCGCTATCCCCTTCGCGTTTTATGACGGCTGAAGGGTCACTACACCGAAGCGAAAAAATTAATTCTGAAGTCCGTGGAGATTTTGGAAGGAGCTCTCGGGCCAAGTCACCCAGAGGTTGCTGAAGGACTCGACAATCTTGCTGGTGTACTAGGACGCCAGGTGAAGATCGTGCATATATCTGCGGTGGTGCTCGAGCTTTTGGCCAACTCAAATGTATGATAGCAGTGGTTATACTCTGTTCTTGGGTCTGCCACGTTATGGGCTGACCGAGAATCCTTCACACGTGCGCTCGCCCGTATCCCGGCGGTACGGCTGGTCTGTTCTCTTCGTTGTGAAGAACAACTACGAGCAGGCAAATTCTCTGTACCGGCGGGCTCTCCCGATGCTTGAGAAGGCTTACGGGCCGGACCACGAAAAAGTGACTGCCGCGCTCAACAACTGGGCCTGGCTGCTGACACAGCAGGTGACAACACGTTTCCATGGACTTAGATATGTGACAATAGGGTTCAAGCCTGCGTTTGGGAGGGGGGTAGCTTGCAAGAGGGTCGGAGGGTACCTCGGGGTTATGTGGCCCGAAAAGTTGCGCTGAGGTGCGTTTCATTAGGCACGAGGGAAAGGGACTGCTTTACCGCGTTTTCACTGCGCTTGGAGTTACGACTATCCCTGGGAACCGTGTGCTCGATGGCCGAGGGAGATGTTCTTGGGACTAAACAAGGGCGATATGTTCCTGCTCATCCTAGCTTCGCGGTATGCAGTGGGTGAATATTGAACTGCTAGAATGGGTGTTGATGGGGGACGCTGCACGACTGTTATTTATTCGCTTCGCTACTCTGTGCGCCGCGACCTCCCTTTCTTCGCTCCGGCGAGCAAGGGCGAGTACGACGAGGCGGGTTCCCTGTATCGTCGCGCCCTCGCCAGCGATGAGAAAACTCTCGGCCGCGATCATCCGACTGTCGCGAAGGATCTAAGCAACCTAGGAGTCTCGATGACAAAGCAGGCGAGAAGCTGACCCCGGCTTGACGTTTCCTGATCTGGCGGTGTGGACAAAGATATGCATCACCATTGAACCCCAGAGGTGGTTGTTCACGGCACCCTTTAGAATGCGCTGTAATTGGTGCATGACCCAATCAAAAAGTGTTGGTTGAGAGTGAACGTCGAGGACCAACCAGTTGTCCTCCGCCTACAATAGAATGACCTTCAAGATGCAGAACGAAAACACAAATCCGCATGTACCTCCGCAGGAAGAGATTACCCAACAATGATCTAAAACGCGTTCAACTCTTCTCTCGGAATCAGATTTCATATATCTCACCTATGCTTCTCATGTTGACGTATCGCAGGGTCATCATCCCGACGAAGCAAACTCTCTTTTGGGGAGATCCCTGGCAATCCGGCAAAAGGCTCTCGGACCAGACCACTTGCATGTGGCTCAGACACTCCACAACCGAGCAGGTCTCATGTACAAAATGGTGAGTGGAGCGGACCCCAAGAGAAAAGAAGACGATGGCGACGGATGAAAAAACTTTCCCCCCCTGTTTTATTGGCTTGTCCTGATACCTGTTTCGTTTGATTCGCGCACAACACAATTGGTACACTGTTCTTGGAAGACAACATTGTTCGCGCAGTATGTGTGGTGCTACACTAGTATCCATTTGACTTTGTTGAGTTCCGGTTCAGACTACAGATTTGCTACGAGTGGTTGAGGCTTTGCGCCTCTCTTTGTCGTGCTTCGATCCCGCCACGGCCTAGCATAGTTTGTGAGATGTGCGCGTTGTGTTGCCTGGCAGGGTAATTTCGAGGAGGCAGACTGTCATTATGAGCAGTGCCTGGCAATAAAAATACGGGCTCGGGGGCCACGACATCCTGACGTTGCCGTTTCGCTGCACGACTGGGCGGTCATGCTGTACATGAAGGTAGGCGAGCCACCGCGGGTGTGGCCTTCGTTAGGTGCTCGTATCGCCATAGGTTTCGTTTAGGCTTCCCTACAGAGGAGTTGTTGCAGGCTGGGAGCGAGCACGAGGAACAGTTCCAGAAGGCTCCTACCCCGTTAAGCTGTAGTTTTGGCGAAATGCAGATTGAAGGAATTTCTGCGGGGAGAATGTTACCAGGAATGACTACACGTCACGTACGTTGAAGTTGCGATAACGCTTAAGGTAGTCGGAGAAAACTGACGACCCGTTGGCAAAGGCAGTCTACAATATCAGTGACAAAGTGTAACCCACTGCTCATTTGGCAACGTCGGGAGCACGACTGGTCGGTTGCCGATTCGACGATTCGGAGGAGTGAATCATTTCGCAATGCACGCGTCTGTTGGCGTTCTGTGAATTGCGCTGCACCGTCATTCTCTTCCTAGAGTGAGTTCGAGGAGGCGGAGTATCTCCTGCAGAAGTCCCTGTCGATCAGGGAGGAGGTTTTAGGTTCGGATCACCCCGATGTTGCACAGTCGCTGAAAAGCATGGCGGGAGTGTGCTATACACAGGTGTGTTTCGAAGAGAGAGAGAAAGAGAGAGAGAGAGAGAGAGAGAGAGAGAGAGAGAGA